ATCTTTATGAATATTTTTTCACTGGTGATTATAAAAATATACAAGCCTCTGAGAGCATTATATAAATGCTTGAGGAATATTCATTAATTTTTTCTTATAGTACTTCTCATTTCTTATATTGTTATACTATGACTAAAGTTTCTTTTTTATTAATTTTTGATTTATAATTGACACATAAAAATTGCACATATTTATGGGATAGAGTTTCAATGCATGTGTACATTATATAATGATCAAATCAGTGTAATTACCATATCCATCACTTTAAACATTTATTACTTCTTTGCGGTGACAACAGTCAAAATCTTCTCTTCTAGCTATGTTGAACTATATACTATATTGTCGTTTCCTATAGTCACCCTACTGTGTAATAGAACAACAGAACTATAGTTTCTGTCTATCTGCTCTTCCTGGATGCCAAATTTCAATGCAATGTGTTTCTAAATTGCAGCTACGATGCTCCTTGGAATGTTTATGGTGGCCATTCCTATCCAACATGATAGAAACACAAATCGGTCTCACCAAAAATCTTGTTCAACATGAAGAAGGTACTAAACCTGGTCAAATATGTCAACTTTGAGAGTTAGTGAGGAAATAGGCAGATTTGAAACAGAGACTTCACTTCCTGAGGCAGGTTAACAGCGTTCCCTCTGCTCTGTTTCTGCAGAAGTTAATGAATATGCGGACTCATCTTCTGAGTCATGCTAACCCAGAGGAAACCTAATGTCAACACTTGGTGTAAGGTGATCCAAGTTGATATAATTACTGTTTATCTCTGTATCCTTCGTAGTTTCTCAGGCACGTTTGCTTCCATGACAAAATTAATATAAAAGACCAACTAGAGACAACTTGACAGAACTCTAATTTCAATCATTTTATTTACTCATAAAATATTCCCCTATCATAAACTTTGTTTGTGAAATCTACCCTGTCAACAAATTTCACTATGATCACAACCTAGGTCATCATAGACTTCTGGGAGTCCCGCCTGAATAAAGACAGCAGAATCAGAACATCTATTATGAAGACACTTTTCTGCACTCATACAAGAAGTCTTCCAATGTTTATTTTTTAAATAAAGAAGCTCAGATTTATCCTTGCATACTGATATATCTATTATGCAGTACAAATATTTTGATCACCTTTCCTCAAAGAGCAATGCCTTAAAAAAAAATTCCTATTTATAGCTCCCTTTTGCCCATGGACTGCAGTAAACATTTGCAGGTACAGGATCATTGAGGCACGGTGGACACATGGTTGTGTGCAGACACTGCCCACCTCTCATGCCGTGGCAGACTGCGCACAGGTCTCCCAGCCCTCTTCCCTAACCAGCGCTCCAGGGAGCTGCTACCTCCAATCAGAGCTGGCATGAGATGGAACCATTTGCCGTCCTTCTTCTAGATGTTTCTGATTGACTGTGTGCACTGAGGTATGTTCCTGTAGGGATGCTGATCCTTCTGGCCAAAAGCTTGTACACTTCAGCTCAACTCTGCACATTCAACAACCATGGCTTTATGCTGCTTTGCTCATGTCCGAACAAAGCAAGTGGCCTAATCACACACAGTCACAGGAAAACATTAGGTAGAAAGCAGCCTACATCCCTTTTTATTTTCTGCCCCAGCCATGTGATCTGAAGTAAACAGGGTGATTTCTTTCAAAGTATTATTTTGATACTTCAGTATCAAGGTAGGATTCTAACTTATTATATTTAACTTCCATGATTTTTTAAAAAATAGATTAAATAAAAGAATTCATGAATTTACTGTGGGTTTCAGTGAGTTCTTTTTTTCCAGCAAGTTTCTCTGTTTCTGTTGATTATGGTGCAGGGCCAAAATATTGGGGAAGTCATAATCATTCACTTTTCTTTTTCATTGTACCCCCTAATCTGATAAATCAATAAGATCTGACTACTTTTTCTTCAAAATTGTTCTGAAATTCACCCCTTGGCATCATTTTCACCATTATCATTACCATTATCATTCTAGTGAAAACATTTATCATCTCATACTTTTGTAATCACAGCCTCACACACATGCACACATATATATACACACACATAGACACATACCCATATGTATATATACATGTATATTATTTATGCACACATGTATATACATGTACACATACATATATAAATATGTGATATATACACATATATACAGATACATATACACATATATTACATATACACATATATACACATACATTATGCATATGTACACATACTTTTATTTTTTTGTGTGTATATATATAAAATACCAAAAGACAGAAACATTGCCAAGTATGAGGAGATTGTATGTATTTTTCCCACAGGTGGCAAATTTTGAGATGAAATGTCTCCCTGTACAGACACACACACACACACACACACACACACACAAAATAAATTCAAAACTTACCGGTTGACCTCCCCACCATCTATGATTAAATTTCTCTCGCCCTCGCAGATGGAAAGTAGCATCAAATACAGGATCATACATTGAATTGCCAACAATTCCATGTGATTCTGGATACAGTCCCTTCATGTAAAAGCAAATTTATTGTTAAAATAACAATATAATAATCCACATGTATTAGTCCTATTATAAATTTTCATATCACAGAAGGTTTTATATCAATATTTAACTTTCAAAATTATATAAGATATATATAACCTTTACTGTGTGTCTGTGTGAGCAAACATGAATAATATCTATGGAACTAATTATAAGCCATCTTAGAAACTTAACATGATTATAAGAAACTTAATATTTGGGGGT